TCCAATTTTTCTGTGACTCTTGCTTCACGTAAAGAATGTCTTTTGTTCCTCTTGTAAGCTTTTGTATTCAAAGCAGTCTCCAGTGTTGTGTCTTTTCGCATACAGGAAACAACTTCACTTCTCAGCTATATATAAATAAAATGAATTTTTGTTAGGATTTGCAATGCTCATTTAAATACTACATTATTATATAAATTCTTTGAATAATGATTATTTAGTACTGTCTTTGGAAATTCATCTTAAGGCCCTCAGTTCAATCATGGCTTTGGTTTTCATATCTTCTGGCATTTAGGATGATTATTCCTTGATTCTGCATGAAATTCGTGCTGCAATCCTGAGAAAATAAAAATTTCCAAACTCTTAGGTTTTGTATTACCTACTATATACATAAGTTACGCCTATAAGTCGGATGTATTTTTTGCTTTTTTGGTTTTGCTATATCCGCTTATAAGTCGGTACATTTTTTGCAAAAATTGGATGCCAATTTCAAGTAAATCGATTGATTTTTAACCTGGTTTCAATTAATATTTTTCGAAATAACACTAATATTTAAGCTGAAATTAATATTAAAGAGGCAATGCTCTAAAAAACATAACAAATAAAAACTTACACATTACTCACCCAAAGCCAAATAATTTTGGGTTGTGTATGATCTACTTATGTTTATGTAATAATAGATAATTAATTCAGCAAATTTCCATTTTTAGTACCTATTTTCTCTTCATTCAGTAAGTCAATGGGATTGAGTCCCTGTGGCTTGGCAACAGGAGCAATCTTGCTGTGTTTCTGCTGCATTATGGACTGGGTAGATGGGGGCTGGGCAGCTCCTTGGGGCCCTGTAGGAGGGTGAGAACCTGGCTGTTGGCCTGGGGTCTCTGGGGGACCTGACTGGCACTGGTATTTGGTGGTCCTTGTGTCATCTGCCCTCCAGAGTATCCAGAACTGTAAGATTGGCTGTGTGGGGCCTGGGAGCTGGGGGCCTGCCCTGGCTGTTGTCCCATTCTACCACTTGGATCTGTAAAATTGGTATAGTAATATTATCATTATATAATTTGTATTTTCAATACAATTGACTTGAATGTTAAGTACCTTCTATCACTGTAACACAAACAGAATGACTAAAATAGAAACCCTCAGAGCAAAATTGTAACATTTACAGACCTTGTGGTCGCTGCATTTGGGGATATCTTTTGCCTTCCACTGCCATTCTGATATTCTCTGGAATAGGTTGGTTTCTGGAGAGTAGTTTGTATGCCATTATCTGGGCCCTTAGCTGTGCTAACTGTGGAGGATTAAAGGCATTAGGCCTACCCCGAACCTTGTGTTCCTCCCGGTCCACCCATCTGATTTGGCATACCTTGCTGACCTGTAGGAAAAAAACATTCTAATACCTACAATATTTCAAAGTACACTACAGTAAAGTCTGATTTTGAGGAAGTCATTTGGGTGTTGTTTGCTTTCTTATATTCAAGATTCTTTATCTCAGCATAAGAAACATAGGGCATCGTCCTCTTTGGGATTCATAAAATTGTCATTAAAACTGAGATTTCTATCTAACCAAGTTTTTCAGTATACTGTTGAATATTTTAAACATTTTATTAAAAGAGCATCTAAACACTTTATAACTAGAACTGTCCAAACGGGACAAAATACCCCCCGCTGGGTTTTTCAGAAGTAAGTTTTTCCATAAGAAAGATATGGACCGGACACGAATTATGAAATTTTTCTTCCAGTGACCTTGAACTTCCCCAAGTGACCTTGGGTCAAGGTCATGACATACCCAGGGATTTATCAAGGCTGTTTTTACTACCGGTAAACGGTACCTTTCCCCTCTTGAAAAAGGTGCAAAAATTCCCCTTTTTCAGATAGAAAATTCTCTGATTAAATGGAATATTTAAAACATCGTTCTGAAATTTTCCATTTTTGTCCGATTGAAGTTTTACAGCCAATTTACCATCCTAGTCATTCAAACGCTTTTAAAAGAAAGAATATATTATTCAAACTTTTATTTGATATTGATCGGTAAACATGTGCCAAGTCCATGGAGATGATGTCAAAGATACGCGTGGGATTGCAGAGTTAAGAAAAGTGTAGATGAGTAAGATGGAGCTTATATCACTATGAATCTGAAGAATGGAGTAACAACAAAAACAATGTTAGTAGTGAAACATGAAAAACAGAATTGTTTTGTGATATATTGAGAGAAAAATTAAATAAAGTCCTGACCTGGTTTAATTTTTTTTTGTGTGTGTTGTTTAGTATTTTGCCTAAAATAGTGAAGTTTTTGTGGTCTTTGTTAAGGTCTACAAATGACCCTCAGAAGCTCTAAGAATAAAGGATTTTGCTCCATTTATTTAAAAATTTTCCGGGGGGCATGCCCCCGGACCCCCCTAGAATACTCGCGCCTCTGGCACTCAGATCGAGTCTGTGGCTCTCATTTTTCCCCTTTACATATAAAACGGTAGTAAAACAAAATAGCTAGACACATCCCTGATACCCTTGGGTCATGGGCAATCTTTGTGTGAAATGAGAACCTACCAAGTTTATTCATAAGAAAGATATGGACAGGACACGAATTATGAAATTTTTCTTCCAGTGACCTTGAACTTCCCCAAATGACCTTGGGTCAAGGTCATGACACACCCTTAGGTCATGGGCAATCTTTGTGTGGAGTAGTAGATTCTAATATCCCTCTGTAAGAAAGATATGGACTGGACACGATTGCACAGACGGACAGACGGACAAGGTGATTCCTATATACCCCCCCCCCCCCCAAACTTTGTTTGTGGGGGTATAAAAATTACAACATACCCTGTTGGTCTGGTGTATTAGAACTTCCCATCTGCTGCATGTTGCCACCCATTTTGTGTTGCATTGATCCACCTTGTGGCATGGGATGTGGAGAGTTGGATCCCATTCCTGTATTCATTGACTGGGGTCCTGTCATATTTCCTTGGCCAGCCATGTTTGAACTTCCATGCATTCCTTGTCCTCCCATAGGACTGTAATTTCCTCCAGCATTAGAACCAGGCATTCCTGGATTATTCATTCCAGGATTATTACTGGGCATTCCTTGACCCATGCCTTGGACCTGAGGTGGCATCCCCTGACCCATATTTTGACCTTGAGGTGGCATTCCCTGTCCCATATTTTGTCCTTGAGGTGGCATTCCCTGGCCCATGTTTTGGCCTTGTGGTGGCATTCCCTGACCCATGCCTTGCCCCTGTGTTGGGATTACTTGACCCTGTGGAGGTATTCCTTGGTTCATATTCTGTCCCTGGTGGGGCATTGGCTGCATACTTCCCATTCTGTGCTGGGGACCACCCATTCCTTGCATCATGTTCTGCTGGCCTCCACCCATATTTTGTGAACCTCCTCCCATGCCCTGGGATCCACCACTCATACTGTGAGGTGGACCCCCCTGCATCATGTTACCCTGGTAATCTCCCATTCTCTGATGGCCCATACCGTGATGCTGACCAGGCATGCCTTGATTCCTTGCCATGTCTGCCATAGCTGCTAGCTGTGCATACCTAGGGTCATCTTGCATCCCCTTTTCCTCCATTTGAGTCATGGCCTTAAAATTTATTTTTAAAAAAAGATTATCAAAATTATATAAATGATTTTGTAAAGGGAAACAGTAACATGTACAACTCATTACTGATTAGTTAATAGTGTAAAATTGTAAGATGTTACCTTATGGATCTTTTGTACATTTTCCTGTTGTTGCTGGGGAGGATACACTGGACCTGGGGGAGTGGCCCGCATCATCCCCCCATCATCCCCAGAGGCCCCAGAGGCCATGTCTCACTTCACACAGTCTGTAAATGTATATTGTGATGTTAGAAAGTTAAAAAAAAAATGATATTCTGGAACTGAATATGAGCTAAAAGTAGTACTTGTAGAAACGATAAACTATCAAGAAATAATCAAATGTTTATTACTTTTCCTCAAAAAAGAAGAGCAAATTCAAGGTTGGTTCCGGTATCCTGGTATATAGCAAGATCTATTTTAAAATTTATGGTACCAAAAATTTAAAACTTATGGTACATGTATGTATTCATATACTACATAGTTAGAATAATCTAACTGTGTCTGGGGACAAGCCCTCACCACAGTTAGAAAACCACTTATATACTCGCAATGTAGAAAAAAATTGCAGAATTACTCCGAAACGAATTTGAAGAATACAAAGGGATTTGCACATGAATTAACTACAAAATTAATTATAACAAACATTTTTGAGGTTGCTTATGCCTTTCAACCTAAAATATAATCCAAATAAAGACGAAAATTCAAGTAATTTTCTTAACATTTTTCCTCGCTTCAAATTTACATGCCATGTTTCCATTCGGAACTCTCTGTATTGTTCATAATAAATACACTGAGTACAAGTTATCCCCCGTGTTTCTTTTGTTACATTACGAATACAAGGAACGAATTCTATCGTTTAACCATGCAGGTCCGTAGGACATTTATCGTTTTAACGATAGAACATTCTATCTATATACTACAGTGATGTGTGTTTTGTTCTACTGTATAAAAAGGTTTGTCTAATGAGTCTACGACTCACATTATTTGAAGATCTGGGAGATTAGTATTCATTATATATGCTTAATTTAAACCTAGTATCTCTTCCCCTTCACTCTTAGAGTGGAATGGTTTATTCCCAAACAAATCGTAGGCAAAAACCAATATGAATAAAGGACATTTTAAAGATGAAGGCATGACATTATTCACAATATTTCTAAGCATGATTATTTTTTACTATCAATATCCAAAATGAAAAGTAAGCATATCTCAAATCAAGCAAACCGGAATTCATGCTCTTTTCCCGAACAATGCGAATTTTGCAGACGAGTGAGTTTGGGCGTTAAACAAGTAAATCCTGCCTTTCTAAGATTTCAGCTACATAAAATACTATGATATGGTAAAACTTACCAACAGGTGAATAACAATAAACAATAGATGTACAATATATTTGGTCTTTTACACCTATCAGTCGGCACAAAGCGTATGCGCACAACAAAGCGCAGATGGATGTGAAAGGTGCAACTAATTTACGAAAATACATCAAATTGAAATAAAAAAAAAGAGAGAGAGAGAGAGAAGGCTAAAATTTGGTAAATCTTGTCTCATTTTATATACATTAATAAAATTATTATTTGTTAAATAAAATTAACTATTTAATAAAAACTTTGGACCAGACGTATTTTAAAAAAATATTTCCTTAATTTACTTAAAAATAATAATTCATTCATTTAAAATCAAGCTCACCTATTTATAAGTCCTTAGTATTTTGTGCTGACAAAAATATCAGCAATTGATAAAAAAAAACATAAGATGGTCATGAAAATCCTGTACGACTTAGATGCTTTTTTAATTAATTTTACCGTGTTTACGGTGATTAGAATAGTCTTTTGTACACAGTTACTTCCCTTGAAAATCTTTTCATGGCGTCCATAGAAGCGGGTTGTTTAATTTGAATAGCATTGACTATTTCAGTTGAAGGATTTTAAACTTGTTCTTACTTACTTAATTTGAAGTGAGTGCTATTTTGTGCACATAAAAATAGTTTTGTTGGTATTATTCTTCATATAGTTTTGCTGGTGTTTTACTACACAATGTTCAATGCAAAAGCATTTTACAACTTGTTACGACTTGTTTGGAATCCATATGTATAGAGCCCTTTAAACATTAGAAAATTCTGCTCTTAAAATTTTGTGACATTTGTGTATCATATTTTTTTTTAGAATTTTATTGAGCGTTGTGTATATGTAGAGAATTTCGTAAACTAATGATACAACCAGGTCTGGTACATGCAATCACTAGATTTAGCTATGTAGCTTGATTTACCTACTTAGCTTTATTTACCTACCTGAAGTTGCTTAAAAGCTACCAAATCAATTAATTTCTATAAAAAACATTTTTCTCAGGGTAGGCAGAAAATATCATTTTGTTGCATTGATCATTTTCAACTTTGAACACATCTGAAAACAATTCATGAAGAAATGTCTTTTTCTGCGCAATTGCAATCAAAGTTCTGAAAGTTTTGGGGCTATGTATGACAGTTAGAACAGTTACTCCTTGAATGAAATGACAAAGAAGTCCAGTTCCGGTTAACACAATAATAGGTCGGTAATTATTTAGCACAATGTGAAGTAATCATACTCAGCCATGCCTCACCGCACGCATGAGAGAGGATAGTTAACAAAACAATGGAATTACATGTTTTGCTCTAAAATATCAATGTTAATTAGGGGAATACATCCATGTTATTTTTACTAATTGTCCTATGTTTTGATACAATTGAAGCACTGAAACATTCATAGATCCATTTCCATTGTCGGAACTGAACAGCGAATGAATAAGGTTTTACCTATGAAGAATCTCTCCCTTTGATCTCAAAAAATATTTATAAGAAGATGAAAAATGTATATTCTTATTCTATATTAAATAGAGCGAACATACCCTGTGCGATCAAGTTTTAGGGCGAGCGAACTCGGGGCGAAAGAGAATTTGGGCAAACGGTGTCATGGGTGAACAATTTTTAGGGCAAACGCACATACAACCGTGTAAACACACCTTGACTTTAAAACAAGATTTTATTAATAGTGTAGTGGTCAGCTGGGTTTAGTCGCCTGTGGCCAGATAGCTCGGTAGGGATGATTCGAGATTCATGGGGCCTGGGTTCGGATCCTGGTCTGGTGCGCTGCATTTTTTTCTCCTCTTCTGTTACAATACAATAGAACTAGCTCTTACTGCTTTAATAAAAAACTTGTTTTAGCTCTTTCATGATAACTGGTACTGTGTACTCTTTTAAAGGACAACTTTATGAAGTTTGGCTAAGTTTTTTTGCTTTTATGTCATATTTCACCCAAATACTGCAGTTATCATGAAAGGCTGTCTATTAATTCTGTTTGTCCCATATCTTCCTCTTCATATGAGTCCATTTCTCTGGGGTTGGTTTGTCATAATTCTTGTTTGCATTGATTTTTAAAAAAAAAAATTCCATTAAACAATGAACATGTTACTCAAATATTTGCAGCAATTTGCTTCATGTAAATTAATGATTACTGGTTCATTTTATCTGAAATCTTTATGCCCCCATTATTGGAGATTCATTGACATAAAGTAATAACTAAGTCTGCAAAAACAACTTGTGGCCATAACTTGTCAACTGACTTTTTTATTGTTGGTGGTAAGGCTTTTATATTTTTATTGTATTTCTTGTAACAACAATTTCAATTTTTGATATCATGAGGTTCACCTTTACATTTGACCTACTTTTGAAAAAAATGTTTATAATTTTAGCCATAACTTGAGAACAGTTGCTGTTATGAGATTAATATTTCACATATGTATTCATTGTGACAAGACTTTTCTGTTAAATTTTTGACTCTGTGAATTTGACCATAGAGTTTTCCTACTTTTGAAAAATGTTAAAATTGGTCATGATCTGTAATACAAGGACATCATTGTTTCACAAACAAGTCTTTTCTCATGAGTTTTCACTTTTTAAATGATGTTAAACATTGAATTAATTTCTGACAGCCTTTGTGATTTTATCAAAATTTTGTACCTGACTTATTTTACTTTCAGTAACTACTAGAAGAGATGTCCTTTGTGAGAGTAAAGAAATCTCATCCTGCAGGGTTGCCTAGAAAACAGAAAGTACACAGAAAGAAACCAGCTTGGGATGTGAGTTATGATACAGAAAAAAAGAAGATAAAATAGGAAACTCAAAAGGAGTAGTATGAACGTTCATAACTGTCTGCTTATGAAAATATTTGATATTTCTTTTTATTACCCTGGTATATACCTAATGTGTATCACTCAATTTTACTGTTGATTTTACGCTATCACATGACGTAGTGATACAACTTTAGAGATCACCACATTGTGGTTTTCTGAATCCATATCACCACTCTCTGAAACTGATGACATAGTATGCAGAAACATGATGTTATTTTTCTTCCGCGTTAAAAAGTCCCTTGTTATAATTCTTTGTTTTATGAATAAATGTTACACAATTGATCTCTAAAGTTTTCTTTTGCTATATTTTGCTAGTTTTGAGGGGGTATATAATAAATGTATCATTATATCAGTAACTTGATCCGAAGAGCCGTATCACATGCGGATCATCAGATCAAACTCGACGCTTCATGTCTCGATAGATCTGATGATTCGCGCCTGTCAACTTGACGTGATATGACCCTTTTGATCAAGTTACTGTTATGATAATATATATATCCCAAATAACAAGATATCTATGTAGCGTCTGATCTTAGGATTTTTTTTTTAAATCACCCAAATCAGAGATTTAGTGGAGCTTTTTTGATTCAAGATTTCTATTTGTGTTGTTGCTTACTTTTGCATTTTTTATTTTTCCTCTCCAGAACTGCTTGAATTTGTGACATATATATGCATAAAAAAGAGACAATACCTGTGATAATGCATGTTTACAATAAGCAAATTACTTAGAGTAGCTTCTTTTATTCCTCTGGTTATGTGTTCATATTATAAGTTGATAATGAATATTGATCAATGATAATTCTTTTTTTTATTCTTATTATATTATATAGGACACCATTCAAGACTTAACAGCTCTGAAGGCCACTCCAGAAGAAATTGTGAGTTGCTTTGCTTAGTTTGCTTCATGCTTAAATTTGTACGTAAATATATGTGCATTGTAAATTATTCCTGCAGTCGTGGTATTTTTCCTTTTTTTCGTAAGTCTTTTTCCATTGGGTATGTTATAGGTCTATGATTATACATATTCAAAATGTTAACATTTTTAGGAACAAAGAAAAGCCTCCCACAGGTCAAAAAATGCTCTGGCTGCCAGACTTGAAAAACAGAAGAAAGCAAATGGTATTAATTCAAGTACAGTATACAATGTATTTGACATTTTCTCTTTTTATCTCATGTAATTTTACTTGCTATAAAATGATAAAAGCAAATGTCATACAGAAATTTGCAAAATAAAATTTCAGCTGCCAAACAGAACTTGAGTATTTCCACTGCGGAGGCTAGACAACTGGCCGTTATGAAGGAAGTCTTGTACGACCAGCAGCAGGTATAGTCTGAAATAAACAGGCCAGAAAAAACTGTATAATCAGAAACAGTGTAGTCATACATAAACAGAACAGTAAGAAAAACTTTTTCCTCAGAAATAATCAGGCCAGAAAATAATATCTATAGATATTCAATACTTGTTTGTTTGAGAAAAAAAAAATTTAACTCATATCGAGGTGCCATTTATTATTGTAGATTTCTGAATTGAAAAAAAGAGAGAAAAAATATGTGGAAATCTGTTTAAAAACTTGAATAAGCATTGGAATTATTTGAAAATGTAACTTTTTCCTTCTAGCTCCATGATGTTTTAAGTAAATCAGACAAGATGATGGCAGTTGTGAAGGACATTTTTGGAGATGATCCAAGGGTAAAATTATAAATTTTATTTATTGCATCAAAATCATAATTAAAAATTCAGTCAGCAAATAAGTTGCATTCAGAATTTATTTTAATAATGATAGATTATCATCCAATTCTTCATATGTTTGAAATTTCTTTACAGAGATTTACTGGTTTCCCTAATGTTACCTCGGCTCCTAATGCTGAAAACAGTGGCAGGTAATTCAGATTTCATAATCTGGTTCTGAATTAGAAATAGAAAATATGACTATCAATACATTGTTAATGACTTTCCCTTGTAATTTACAACACAAATGAGGTACATGCATAATTACATGTATGTACATTTCTGTATAAATTTAATACAAATGTTGTGGTATTTTAAGGTCACGGACAATTGTTGCTAACCTGCCAGATGTAAAGACGCGCATGGAAACTCTGAGTGAATCTATGATGGACCAGTCGGCTTTAAATGATTTTCCAGATACAGAGACTGGTGAAACTTCATTTATTTATCAATTTTTATACATATAGACTAAAGAAAAAAAATGTGGGCACTTTTGGTTGAAAATCTGGCAATATTATGTTACAAGTATTTGATTCAGACTTGCATATATAATGTACTCA